CCTAGTATCAAACCAACATGATGGAATATAAGCACTTGTAAATATTTGCTTTATTGTGCTTCTCAAATTATTTTCACCCCTTGTCTGGAAACTGGCACATGGTTTGGCTGAAATTTGGCATGTCTTTCTCTGCTTTTTGTTAGGGCAAGAATCTCAGACTTTTTCACCTCCTATAAATTCATGTTGCAAGGCTGGTCTGGATAAGAGGTGCATCTTAGTTTGTTTTTTGTAGTATACATCTAAGTGCATAACCCTGAAGATGTTTTGGAGCCACTGCTAGAAAGATTTGTAAGACTGTTTTCTGGTGGTCTACACTTACTACTCAAATTTTATTTTCCCATCTTTGAATATATAGGTTGAACATACTAAATGAACTTTTCACAGGCAAACACTATTGTAAAATATTCTTTTCATTTTTGGTGAAGCTCTGCTCTGTTGTCAATAGTGACAGCTATTGGTCATCTCTTTTGTAGGAAAAATGCCTCAGGTGCCATTTCTGTGGCATCATTTTGCATGGTATTGTGGTCAATCACAATTTCATCTAGTGTTTTATTAAATTTTCATTTATTTCCCCGGCTATTTCTATCAGTCAGATCTGTCTGTGATTCTGATCTGTCATAGTTTCTTTCCATCTTGCTGTCTCCATGACTGTACATGAATGTCATCAGAATGTCATCAGCTATTACACTAATCCTTGCAAATCCTGTTAAGTACAACTTGACAGTGGCATTGATATTCTTGTACTGCAATATGATTCCAAAACACGATTCTCAACTATCTGTATCTCTCTCATAGTGATGAGGAAGCTGTTTCAAATTTCCAGTAGCATTTAGTAAAAATTACCTTGGGTATCAAGCACTAAGGATATTTTACTTTTGCCAATTCAAGAAATATTTCTTCAACTGTGAGCATTTAGTAGTGAGCTGTGTTTTGTACTTTGTATAATGCTGGGACTGCTGTAAATGCACAGTTTGCTTGGCATCTCAGTGGCTACCATGGTGCTTATATTCAACTTGTGGTCTCTCACTTCAGCAACTCTAATGTTAAGTCTTTAATGACTTCTTCCATTTGCTTAATATCTCATCAGATTTTTTCTCTTTTCTCTATCAATTCCCTTGTAGCAACTGATACACTGAAAGGCATTTGCTTTTAAAACTTATTTTCAGGAGTAACATGGCTGGAATTGTTAAAAAAACAAAAACAAAACTGCTATCTTTCCCTGGGCCTGTAACTCCTGGTAGATTAACATGGGCTCCCCTGGCATTTTACATGCCTACATCTTTCTGCCTGTTACAAATGAATTAATTCATCTTTTAAGATTTCATTACTATTTGATTAAGCCATTCTTTCATAGTTTGGCTACATATTAATCTATTTCTTCTCCAGATTCTTGGTTATATCTGTTAAACATATACTTTCTGTATATGACATTTTTCAAGGTTGAGAATTTTTTTCTGTATACTTATAGAACTTTACATAGATGCCCATGGTATGCTCTAGACACATCCAGATGTTGAAGATGCAACAGTGTTTGCTGTTACAGTACATAAAAGTTCTTATTTCATGTTCTTTGGTCTCTTGCTCTGTTGCAATTTCATAGTTTTCCAATTTTTTACAAAAATCCAGTTCCTAACATTACCTCTTTTATGTTTATCTGTTCAGGGACAGGAATCTGTTATGGTGTCATGACATTTTTGTTTCTTTGTGTTTTGAAAGAATAGGTTTTAGACTAGTCTTCATTTCTGATTTCATGCACTTGCAGGAGCCAACTCACTCCTGACACATTCAGTGCTCAGGCACTTAAACAGAGCCAAGACATCGACACACTTTGGCTTTGTTATTTCTTCCATAGTGTTCTTTCTGGTCTTTCTTATAGTGCCACCTATTGGAAAATTACTTGTCCAAACAGTGTGAGCTACTCTCTTCATTATCCTCAAACCCACCTCAACCCATACAAATTCTGTAGGTTTGAGAGAAGAAAGAGGAGTGTTCTACTTACTGATTACTGCTTGCTTTTCCCAGGAGGACATGAATAAAGGAGGCAAGCAGTCATATCTCCTAGACAGAGCTAACAATGATCACAAGATTGACTCCAGCAGGTCTCAAAATTGTTCAGCAGAATAGACAAAAACAGGAAGTACAGCATTTTCCTAGCAGAGATCCTACTCCGTGTACTGGTGCATAGGTCTGATCTCCTTCCTACCAACTTTGGGATAGCTTGCAGGACACTGTAGCTGGCCTTCAGTCTGGCTTCCCAACAAGCTACTTGCAAAAACACAAGTTACTAACTCACTGTACAATATTCATTGTACTCAGCATAGACTCAAGACAGGTGAGGAACAGATGTCTCAATACAGCAAAAGATAGCAAAAAAACCCAACAACCCTCTCCTTTTCTTGCATTGAACTACTCAATGACACCAGTCTCCCTATGACTGCTTATGGGGCTGCCTACAAGACAAATTACTTCAGTACAGCATTCAATCTATTCCTACTGTTCTGAGAATGCATCCTCTCTTTAGAGGAGAGAAAAGGAAAAACAAGGGTGGCAACATAACATTAATTAACATTTACTAGGTGGAAAAGAAGAAGATGCAGCCAACAGCTATGAGTTCAAATTGGCAACCAAAGGTCTGCAGCTGTTAGAGTGAAAAAAGCAATCCTCAGATAGAAATGTAAGGGGGGAAAAAGGCAACTTTATACTGAAAAAGGTCAGCAGCAATGCTACCTACTCTCACAATTTTAAATCCCAGCTTCTTGCCACTTTTAGATAAGAATCTCAGGATTTTTTTAATAAAAGTTTCTAGCACTCAAGTTGAAAGAGAATAATTGGAACATATACACAATAAACGTTCAAACATCAAAGGCAATTAAAAATAGACAAGCAATACTATTATTATTTAAATTAGGGGGCTTTTTAGGGCATCTGTCTCACAGTTTAGACATTTAGACTAAACAGGGGGGAGATCAGGAAGGCACAAAGGAAAGTATTTCTATGGAAAAGTTTACTTTGCATGTCATTTGTCCATCCCTGTATCAGGATTTGTATCAAATCATCACCCAAACTATATACAAGCATCCAAGGTTGTATGTGAGGTGAGCATGTCAGCCTAGGTGAGGGAGTTTTGCTAGCTATACTCCTCTTCCTTAATTTACAGTTTCCTTGGAATGAAACTATGTATATATTGATTTCATATTACCCTCTTAAATAGTGATTGATAGAATTTTTGAAAGCACAGGTACATAGAGATAAGTAGTTCTAGAAGACATGTTTCTATCTTAAAAAATAACATTGACTTTAGTGATCACTTGGGATTTGATTTGCTATTGTGTTAAAGCTACTTTTGTCACCTAAGGTAAGTGGTACTGGGTGAATCTACACGAGACACAATGTCACTGAATCAGTGTGCTCTGATGATGTAGCATCATCGGGCACAAGTCATGACTCTGCAGCTACATCACCTTAGCAATGTGCTCTTGCTATAGCACATTGCTATGATTATGTAGCAGTTAAAAATAACTGGGCACTATTGGCACAGCGCAGTGCAGGCTGTTACTTCCATTTAGTACTAACAATATACCTTCACCTTTTGGAAGGTAGATCTGAAGCTATGACAGCATAGACTAAAGCCACACTACCCATAAGCTTCAGCTGATGTAAGGTTCTGAGAACAGTGCTGTGAGGATATATAGTTTATCCCTCAATAACTTGGAAAACACATAGCAACAACAACAACAACAACAATAGGTACTTTGAAAAAACAAAAATTTCTGCATTTTCTACATGGTCTACATTTTTTATTTAGGCAATATATCTGAATTTCAGATCATCAAGATTCAAAGATCTTGGTGGGAAATCCTGTTCCTTGAGGGCTTGCAGGTGTCTGTGTAAATGCAAATATTACCCCGTTAGAAGAAAGGCTGTTTCCAGAGCTGACCCGAGCAGGGTGCGGGGCCCAGGGCAAATCAGCCCCAGCCCATGTGGGACCCCGACCCCACTCCGATCCCAAACGCCCCAGACCCGAAGAAGCTGCCACTGCCATCATGAGCATTGGCAGGGGGATAGCAAGTGGCTGGACGTGAAGCCGGCAGCAGCGGTGCAGAGTTGTTGTGGCCGCTCTACTCAGCTCTGCAGGGCCCCCCAAAGTGCATAGCCCGGGGCAGTCACCCCGATTTGCCCCCCCCCGCCCCAGATGGCCGTGGCTGCTGCATATCTGTTGTTCTACATTATAAGTATGTTGGTCATCTGTTGGTTAATTTTTATTTTAACCACTATAAAGAAGAAAAAAAATAGACCTATTGTTGCCTCTTTTAAATCCAACCATACTTCACAAGAAAATGAAAGACCAACCCAACTTTCAGTGAAGTCACAGGTAAAATTACCTTTGATTCCCACATAAGCAAAAGAATCCCAAAATACAAGCAACAAAGAGCATTGCAAAATAGTTTGCACAGTGGAACATCCCTAGGAACATTAAATGATAGCTTTGAACCAAGAAGATACTTTGATAATTCTTTTTATTTGAGCACTATTCTCTTGATTTCTAGTAGAACTTAAGGATAGAGGAAAGAGAAGTGAGGAAAAGAGTCTCTAAAGAAAAAAGCTCTAAAGAAAAAGAAAATACCACTTTTTAGCAAGATTTTCAATGTATGAACATTAACAGACAAGGTGACTAAAAAGAGGTAATAAATGCTTAACCTTTTTTATATTTTTATAGGGTCATTATAATAACATGCTGAATTTAGTGCTATAGTTGCTCATAAACTAGTAGGAACAACAAGATTATCTCCACTATACATGAGTGGGTGGAAGATTCTGAAAAATAATTCTAGTTTGAATGTATAAGTAACTTCACGTAAATTGTTGTCAGTCATCTATGTATTCATTTTACTAGTAAAATGACATAATAAATTATCTGTAGCCACTCATTCTTCACTCTTAGACATGCAATGCAGACATTATGCAGGCAAGAAAAAATATCACATAAATATAAATCTTACCACTCCAATAGAAAAGTAATTATTGATGATGTTGTAAGGCACTGGATCTCCTTTCTCATCTTTGTCATTGGGTATTACTTCAAATTTCCATCTATCCAACAAAATCTCTGTGCTGTTCTCAATGTCTTTTAAGATCTTCATCAGATTCTCACCCTCATATCCTAGCAAGAGGTAAAAATGACAATTTTGAATAAATGTGATCAGTTCTGTTGTTCCTCTCTCCCTCCCTGGGTTTTTGAAAAATGTAACTTCCACATATCAAACCTGAAGCACAGAATTGTATTGTGACCAAATATTTTTCTTCTAGCACCTGTCATTAATGGAAATGCAAATACAGAGCTAATTTTAACATTCATCTATACCACTGGAAAACTAGCGTAACACTGAATTTTTCAGAGGACATTGAATCTAAGAGCAGAATCTGATCTTGCATTTCCTAACTGGAAATTCCTTTGAACTTTCCAAGTTAGGAAACTTGGAAACTTTCTTTACAACAGTTACCTGATAGAACCAGGCTGTATTTCATACCATGTTTTGTCATGATAATTAAATTATTTTAAGTGCAAAATATCTGTACAGAGAGCAATGGAGCGTTAGCATTGTCCTACAAAAGCATCACTGAAAACCTAAAAGTTATTGCTAAAACTTCTTTTTTGTGGTTTATGACCTTTCAGACAACGTTTCGAGTGAATTCTATGGTAACACACTAAATGTCCAGAGCCATTGCTAACCGTTAAGGAGAAGGATAAACAGAGAAACTGGTTCTTCCATATTTTGATAATCCTGTGGTAGAATATAGAAATTTACTCCTACTTGCCTGGCACTTCTTGTGAATAAGTAGGCCCTTCACTAGCATACTGATTACACTATATGCTAGTAGAAAAGGCCTGGCTTACCACTTGTTGAACCCCTGCAAAACAAAAAAGGGATTATATTGGCCAGCACTTTATATGCTGTTGAAGCAAAATGACCATGGGGCAGCAAACCTGGAATGTGGATATATCCAGTGTTGAAAGCAGAAGGAATTATGTATAAGGCAAACCTAGGTACTTGCTGAGTCATCAATAAAAGCATAAGTCAACGGCCACCAGTGGGTGCATTTACACATGTGCTTTATCATGGAGTTGACTAATTAACTCTGCAGGAAAACATCACTGCCTACACGTGTGCTGGTATTAGGGCGCAGTAGATAATACTATCCTACAGAGGAGTAATTATGTGTGCTGAAACATACATTTAGACAGTGACAGGGGCTGGTTGGAGCAGGAAGGTGTTAAAGAGCCAGGAGTGTCCACCTCCTAGCCCCACACTTTAGCACCCTCATGCTCCAGTCAGCCCCTCTGACACCGCCACCTGGAGTCCAGGGCTACTCTGCCCCAGCTCAAACTGCTGTAGTCCTGGGCACACATGCAAACTGCACTGGAGTTTATCATATCGCCTTAATGGCACATGTAAATGCACCTAGCATGTCTATCATTAGTTAAAATTATAGTTGGGAAAACCTAGGAGCAGCATCAGAAATTCTTTTCAAATCTATTTGTTGGTGCAAAATTCAACACTTTGCAAAGAGAGTGTTCAAAATCATCCAGAGCCCTCCAAGACAGTACACAGAGTCAGTCTCCCTCTCTCTCTCTCTACACACACACACACACACACACACACACACACACACACACACATACACACTAGCGTGTAGTAAGTAGTCTGTGATATTTTTACTACCTAGCTATTACCAACCTTCATAGCTATGATTCCCTGAATGTGCATGATAGCTGAGTACCAAAGTCACTGTTTTTTCACTATTTAGAGTCCATGCCCGGTGTCTGCATCCTTGAGACTGGGAAAATCACTCACCAGTAATTCAGTTTGACGAAGCCCCTTCTGTTCTCCCATCCTATGGAAAGTTCCAGAAAATCAGTATTATGGCACTGTCTACCAGGAAGCAAGGAGGCAAAGAATAATGAAAGACAGAGAATATTTGAGCAGTGATTCTCCCCACCATCTCATCAGTTACTTTTCAAACTGGTATCTTTCAGTCCAGATGGGATAACTCAAAACAAAAGGCAGTAGAGAAGGTTGCTGGATGGGAGAAGAGGAGGAACCCTGACAAATTTAAATTACAAGTGAGTAATTTTCCATTGTTATTTGTTCCCAACTTCTTCCATCTTGCAGGAGATTCCAGACAATCAGTGGATATAACATGAAAAGGTGAATCCTTACAGCTGCTTATGAACAAGTAGTGGAAAGAATTCAGACAACAGCGATAGGGTATAAGATACTATGTGATTAGTGTCTGAAGCAAGAATACAATGGCCTTGCATATCTCCACTGAAATTACCTCTGCTTACGTTGTCCAGAAAGATAAAATATATTTAGAGTATTTTTGGCTTTTGCTGGCAAAAATGGAATCTTGCCTATCTGTTCACAAGTCATATTAACACTTGATTTTAGCCAACAACTGACAGCAGGATAGAAGTCAAACTGCTGTCTCAGTTCAGTTTTCAAGAATGGATAAATAGACTGCATTTTATAAGGGGAAATAAGCAAGTACAATGTATTCCCATTTTCTAGATGTAAAAAAAAAAACAAAACCAAAACAAAAAACCTCTTCTCAAAGAGGAATAGGAAATAGCTGAATAGAGGGTTAGCAGAGACATGGGATTATTCATGGAAGTCCAAATCCAATTTAGGTTTTGTGAGAATTGATATTTGGACAATAAAATATTTAATCAATGGACGAAGAAGGCATTTGCAAAGTCAACAGATTCAGGAGAGATTTTCATGTATGTCCTACAAATTCTGTAGTGAACCTCCTCTCATTGACGAGTAAACACCTGAAAACTGGTTTCCATAAAATAGGGATCTAAAAACATTGGAGGCATCTGTATGAAAAACCTGAAGTCCCATGGTATTTATAATCTGAATAGTTAGGACAGTTTCAGGCTCTGGAAAACTCAGGTAGAAAGCTCATAGACCTGTGACTGCTTCTTGATCACAGATTTGCAGATACTATGCCAATCAGTATTAAATTAATTATTAATGATTAAGTTAATGGTTAATTGCCATTAATATTCTTTCAGTTCTTCTAGGCCATGAAGTATAGAAACATGAAGATAAAATTGTGGAATTGTGGAAGAGGAAATGAGGACACCTAGAAAGAGTCCAAACATGGTGCAACCTCAAGGTCTAGGAAGCTGGAAGACATAATCTCAGTCAGATAGGAATAACAAGGTTCAACATCTTGTCTACTCTGGGTTAAATTCAGGGGATTAGAAAGACATTACGAAAGAAATAGGTAAACTCTTTTCCCAAAACAGAAAAAAGCAAGCCAGAATCTTGAGATCTTTCCTTGGGAACTGGAGGCAGATGAATTTACTCAAAGACTTCTTTAAACACAGCAGAAAAAGAAAGGATATCTCCTAATGCAAACCCTGGTGTCTGGGATTAGTGTGCAGAACTCTGAACTAGAGTATCTACTCTCTTCTTTCGTCTCAAACTGAAAGTTAAGAAAAGTAAAAACAAACAAACAAGCAAAACAAAACAAAAACCAGGTCTGAGAGCTGAGATATGGGATAACATTCAGAATTTATCTGCCAAAGGATGTTTGGCCTTAAAAAATCTAGAGAGATGTGTACACTTGATTTTCTATACAAGGTCCAGGACTGTGCACCAGGACACTGCAACATAACCTCCTGTGATATCCTACATAAACTGTAGAGTATCCCAATGCCCCAGGTTCACCATCAACAAAACAGCGTTTTGTTATCTATCCCAAATTGGTTTCATGATACATGGATACTCATTAATACCAGGAATAATGCCTGAGACATAAGTAGAAATAGAAACCTAGCTAGAATGCAACTGTGACCTACCATTTTCCAGAACTCTAGCACAGAGCATGCATCACATATAAAAATGATTTTCTCTTATCTCACTCTAATACACTATGCTGTTCCTAAAAAACAGCTTAAGTTGGAGATCTATAAGAATCAGAGAGGAGAGCTACACAGAGAAATATAAAGAGCAATGATTCTAAGAAACAGTACACAGATCTCAAGATCCTTGGAAGTGTACTGTCTATATGGGGACAGTATTACAGAGACTTACTACAAAAGAAAAGCAAAGCACTGCAAAAGATATATCTAAGTATAAAAATGTTCATTTTGAGGATAGAGAATATAGTGTACCAACAAAAAGTTTAAGGACAAGGTGTTTGAAAAGTGGGATTTCATTACCAAGGCAGCACGTATCTAATTCACCAGAGGGTATCGTCTCTTTAAGTCTGTAGCAAAAACCTTGCAAATTCTTTACAGTCTAATAAAATTCCTTGTGAAATATTGAAACTACTAAACAATCGTTTTGGAATTCTTTGATACCAAAAAACCTTGTTCTGCTTGTTGTTTTAAGAGTCTCTATGAGGCTTCTGTGGCTTTCTAGACATCTGCCGATTTGGTAAAAACATGGGCACTTGTGCATTACAGTCGGTTCCTGAATGAAAGTCTCACCAACATTTTTAGAGACTGTCATAGTTATTCTAACCTCCTTTCATTTACCAAAACAAATGATTCATTAATGTCTTCCATGAGGAGGGACTCTAAGCAAGAAATTGGTTAGAAGGTAAGCATGTCTGATCAGATTTCTTTTTCTAATACTGAAGCAGCAGGCAGCAAACAGGCAATGAAAGGGCACCAAAAATAAGTTCAAAGGGCCTGAATTGTCTTCAGCTCAACAGACCCAGCGAGTCACAAAATGGCACTGTTGCAGACGTGTTATTGGGAATTTGTAAAAGGAGCTTTGGAAAGAGAGCACGAGAGAAATGGGCCAAAATATTTGGAGGAAGAATCTGCCACTATACAGTAGAGAAAGGAAAATGAACCTCATCCAGCAAATGAGGAGAAAGAGATGATGTTTCAGCTGAACCAATGAAGTTTAGCTTGCCTGGGTAAGAACAGAAAAATAAAAGGACAGATCAATCACAACACAAGAACGAGAAATAGCCCTTCCCAAATATCAGAAAACAGAAATTCTTATTGAGCCAACAACCACCAACACCTATTAGCCAACAATTGAAGGGTGGGGCAAACAAATGTCCTAGGGCATTTATACACATGCTCTGGGAAGCGGGGGAGGGGGGGCACTTTAATTAGAGCGGCTCCGCCTGGCACATCATGTGTATCAGCGTTCCCATGCTGAAGAGTGGCAGCGGGGGCACTTTTACTTAAACTTGTCAAGCGAGCTTTAGTTAAAGTGCCCCCACTGCCATTTTTCAGCTTGGCATTGCTGAAACACATGACGCGGTAATTTCCATACTCCAGCAGCCTAGATTAATTGAGTCTGCTCCAACACACTGGAATTACAACACATTGGAGCAGCCTCGATGCACATGTATAGGTGCTCCCACATTCCTGGTAAGAGGGAACAGGAATGTCAAGACTTAATCCAAGGAGTCAGTATTCATTCTGTAAGAACAAAGGGAGAGTGAACCAAACCAAAGTCCCTGAGGAGTTTCGAGCAGCTATCTTTGCCAAAATCAAATCATCTTGCTCTCTAAGATCATTATTATTGTTGTTGTTGTTTTTGTTGTTGCTAGGGTCAGAAGGGACCTGAGCAGATCATCAAGTCTAACTCTCTGCCATAGGGAGAAAAGGATGCTGGGGTCAAACAACCCTGGCAAGGTGTCTATATAGCCTCCTTTTGAAGACCCCCAGGGTAGAAGTGAGCACCACTTCCCTTGGAAGTTGGTTCCAGATCCTAGCTGCCCTGACTGTGAAGTAGTGCCTCCTTTCATCTAGCCTGAATCTACTCTCCATCAACATATGGCTGTTATTCCTTGTTACTCCCACTAGTGCTCGGGGGAACAGGGATTCTCCCATTGCCAGCTGGTCTCCCTTGGCCAGTTTATAGACAGCAACCAGATCCCCTCTCAGCCTTCTCTTGTGGAGGCTGAACAGGTTCAGGTCTCGTAGCCTCTCCTCATAGGGCCTGCCCTGTTGCCCCCTGATCATGCGAGTGGCCCTCCTCTGGACCCTCTCAATGTTGTCCACATCCCTCCTGAAGTGCAGTGCCCAGAACTGGACGCAGTACTCCAGCTGCAGCCTGACCAGTGTCGCATAGAGGGGGAGGATCATCTCCTTGGACCTGCTCGTGATGCATCTGTGGATGCATGACAAAGTGCAATTAGGCTTCCTGACCGCGTCCTCACATGGAGTCTATAATGACTCCAAGATCCTTTTCTGCCTCTGTGCTGATGAGAGGGGTGTTCTCCAGCCTGTAGGTATGCTGCTGGTTCTTCCTCCCCAGCTGCAGTACCCTGCACTTGTCAGTATTGAATCCCATTTAATTCTCATCCACCCACCCCTGTAACCTGTCCAGATCCAATTGCAGCCTGTCCCTGCCTTCTAGCATGCCCACTTCTCCCCACATCTTATTGTCATCTGTGAATTTGAACAAGGTGCTTTTCACCCCCTCGTCCAAGTTGTTGATGAAGATGTTGAACAGTGCAGGCCCGAGGACCGAGCCATGGGGGACCCCACTGCCCACATCCCTCCAGGTCGATGCATTGGGCTGCATCCGGTTCACTGGAAGCACTGAATAGTCAGCGTATCTCAAAATCTGACTTTTTATTAATCCAATCAGCTTTTAGAAAAGGGAAAAGAAATGCCATACCTAGGAGCTATACTCACAGTTATTATATAGGGAATGGATTATAATATAAAGAACCAAGAGTTCTAGTTTTTTGTACGTCTTATAATATAAAGAAGGTATTTATAATGGAAGGGAGGTAGGAGCTAGTAATACGCATGCTGTGAAGAGCAGCATTTTATCGCATCTTCCAGCTGGAGTCTAAAGTTTAAGAGTCTCAATGTCTAAGAAAATCATAGTCCTATAATTTACATACTTGCCCTTTTCCTGTCCCTGGCAGGAGGTCATGGTTCTCTGAGATTTCCACCAATGGACAATATGAATAGGATTCTACACACTGGAGAGTGAGGGAGAAAACCCAAGAAAGAGTCAAGCTGTCACTGGACCTGTGACTATCTTGCAAAAGTAAAGAAACAACTGCATGGGTCAAACACTGCCACATCAGACATATCAGTTCTATCTACTAAACTGCAGTAGAAACCACTCTACTGCTGGAGTTCTTTGCCATCTCTGAAGTAACGCTAGAAAGATATGCTCCCAGGAATTCTGGATGAATGGATACTGATTAAGAAAAAAGCATGGCCGTAAATTATGTAAATTTTGATGTGAGAAGGAAGAAGCAGGGAAACAGGAGGGACCAACAGAAGTTGTAGGAAAAGTGGGAGCAGGGCAACATTCATGCAGAAATGACAGAGCCAAAACTGAATAGGCACTGGATCCAAACTAAAACCACAGACAGGCAGGTTTGGATCATATGTATAGATCTAAAGGGAGCAACGAATCTGACAGGCACAGTTATTAGTCCCATTAAGAATGAGAACTTGTAGAGATGTATCCTTGGAAATGCATTCTCCAATATTTTTCTGATGTCGTGAATCTACAAAACTAGCATACATTCAACAGGCAAGTGGTCAGTATTAGCCGAGTCCTTCTCGTTTATGCCCTTCTTCTTCAAGTTGTCTTTGGTCTTCCCATTGTACCCTGTAATGAAGGTATTGGATGGAAATAAGTTATAGAAAGTGATGAAAGCTAGGCTCCAAGCTTCCAGGAAAAGAGGCAAAGGATACGAAAAGCTTAGCTTTATACATCTTTTTTTGCTTCACTATTCTTTGCCTCCTTCCTTCCTGGTAGATGGTACCATGATGATTGTCTGGAATATTCTGCAGGATTAAAGAAGCAATGAACAATAAAAACATTCACATCAAAGCCATTCGTTTACTGTGGTCTCAGACTGGCATTTTTCTTCAATGTTTCTGACTGTTAAAAAAATAAATAAATGAAAATAACTAGTCATATGTAGTAACCCTTTCAGGAAAGCCAGTTAAAATATATTTACGTATACTTCTGCATCATGTCCTAAGCATGTGAATACCTGCTTTAAAGATTGTAAAAATGCAGACTATTTTAAACTTCCATGGTCATATTTTACACACTTTGAATCCATAAAGCTCTCATTCATGTAAACAGGAGTTACAAGCAAAGTGTTAAAAGAGGACTTTTATAGATCCTCCTTTAACACATTTAAGTATGCCATTTGTATACAAAAAAAAAAAATATCTTTCTTCAGTTCAGTTTACACTCACTACTGATTCCAATGAAAGGGGGGAAACTTGTTAATGCTCTTTACAGATCATAAAACAGAAATTCATATTTTTTTTCAGCAAACTTCTGTTTCTTTTTAAACAACATAATAGAAGATATTTTAACTTGTGTTTACCTCCTCCCCATCTCAGACACCTTGCTAAATCATTGCCAGTCCCAAGAGGCAGAATAGCAACTGGAGGATGCTTAGGCAAATTTGCTTTCTCTGTAAATAAATTTAAAAAAAAATTAATTAAAATGGACAAGACATTGATAAACCTCAAAATGAAGTTGTGCAGATAAAATGGTAAGCTTATAAATAAAGGTTTGGTTTTGATTCAACAAAAGATAATGAAATACACTTTGTGAAGGAAGCTGGCTTTAGAGACAGGTATTCCATCAGCCACAGTGCAGCCCCCCCACCAAGAACTAGCATTTACTGTGTAATTACATCATTGTTGTCACTGGCTACTAGCATTACTACCACCATTATTACAATATGTTGGCATCCCTGACTGTAGTATCAGGCTTAAAAAGAGAGATTGAAGATCTTGGTAAACATGCTTTAAGTTTTATGAGTCAGCTAGGACATAAGGATACTAGGATATAATGAACTTAAAAGGCCTGAGCAGAAAATCAAGTCTTGTAGATTTCTGCTAAATTGGTCAGGTTCCAGTTTAACTATATTTCCATATGGAATATATTCTGCATATGAGGACCCAAAGTCAAGCAGGCTCTGGACCCAATACCCATACATTCTTCCCTTTGGAAATAAAGTTTGAGCAAATCAGGTGTCTTTATTTTACCACTTTATACATGACAAATTCCTTTGAAACTTTATAGTTTAAACTTAAGAGACTTTTGGTTTTTTACACAGACTAAGTATTCCAAGCCACTATATTTATGGCCCACAGAGCTACTCTATCCAGGGTTACCAGCAGGCTATATGTTCAGGGACATGTCCTGCCCTGGAATTGAGGGTCTTTTGGCTACACTGGCCATGGTCAGAAGCAGCGAGCTTGACTCACCACCACTTCCCCTGCAACCCACTGCTACTGGACCCCTCCCCACTGCTGTTGGACCCCCACCAGTTCCAGACCCTTCAGATCTACCACCAGGCCCATCTCTGGCCTCAGACCCCTTGCACCGCTACCCTCTCCATCACTGGACTCCTGCTTCTGCCACTGTAGCCACAATAGGTAACCACAGATCTGGCTCAAGGCCCCAGGTGAGTTTGACAGCCCCTGCCATAGACCATGACTAAATCCAAAAGTTTCAAACATACTCTGGGACTACAGGAAGAAAGCAAAAATCTGGTAACTGAAAGAAGGGAGTGAATAAATGGAAGTTTCTGGAACTAACCAAGATGTGAAAAATATTTGATTAATCTTTGTAAGATGCATTTAAAGCAAAAATGACATGTATTAGTTCAATGATTCTAAGTGTTTAGGTAGCCTAGGGAACTAGCAATAGTAGACTGGAAATAGGGAACTAAACACTCTAGATATTGTCAATGATAATCATTTACCATATCACTTAAAAGGTAATGGATTTCACCATAAACCATCTGACTATCAGTCTTTTAAATATGTGAAATTATATTTAAAACGGTTGAATGAATATATTGAAAAAATAAGACTCAACATTGTTACACCCCCAGAATTTAATAGGTCAAAATAAATAATTAAAAAAAACCCTCTGTGTTACCTATGCAATCCAAAATCCAACCAACTGTTCCATCTCCACCACATGCTAGTACTCTGACATCAGGAACATCTCGGAAAAAATTTAGTCTGAAAAAAAAGTACAATACTTATTTAATTAAAAAAAAACCATTCTGTATTCTCTCAATTGTGGGAAGAATATTTTTCTATTATCTGAAAGAAATATATGTTTCACCTAACAAAACTCATGCTTAATATTTTTTCAATAAAAATGATCTATATTCACAAAATCTCACAATAAGTTGTCTGATAAACCCTTTTATGAAAATATTAACTCACAGATTATTAGAATATTTTAATTCTTGAGTATAGAACATGTTATTACTTTAAAACTGAAGAAGGCTGAATAAGAAACATTTTATTTTGTTTTCAGAGAATATGTGGCTCTAGAATTCTATGACAACCTCTATTGTTTTTAAAAGGGAAAGTGGATATTGAAATGCCTTTCGCTATCTTATATGCAACATACAAAGCAAGCCTGTGCACCAACACCCTTATTGAAAAATAAACCAAAATAAGGTTTAAAAATTGACTGGTAGCCAAAAGCAAAGAATGCCAAGAATGACTCACAACTCTACCAGCTATTTTTCATAATTTCATTCTTGCTCATGGTACAATTTATCCTTTTTCAAAATAACAATGGCTTTTTTCACATGTCAATGAATAACCTCCACACATTTAACAAATAATCAAATAAGGAATTTAAAAATACTATACATGATAACATAGTGAGACAAATAGCAGATGCATACCTGGGCACTTTTGTGCCCTGAGTGGCAGCGATGCATGAGGCAACACCACTGGCAGGGGTGGCGATGGCTGGGCCAGCTGCCAGTAGCATGAGTTGGGGGGCAGCAGGAGGACAACGTTCTATGGCGACCAGGGACTTTTTGGTTGCATCCAGACGAGCAAGCACGTGCCAGTTGTGGCATCTCAAAGCTGTTTGAGACGCCGCAAGAGGCACACCATGAATGGAAAAATGTTCCCTGTGCTGCAAATATGCAGCAGGGGCTCCAAGTCTAATATCAGGAAATCCTGGTATCAAAAGAAAACACGCGGGGAAAAAAGCAGTGCAGGGAACCCTCCTGGAGCATGTCCCAAAGCAACTGGAGTCTGGGTCCTCCAGAGAGATACTCTAGCACCTGACCAGAGCATCTCTATGACTTCCTCATCCCCTGCTGCTCCAGCATACTGCCTCAGCATGCTGGAGGATATAGAAGTGGGGCAAGGCTGGTAGCAGTGGCTTGGACCCAGGCTCAGTCACTGGTAAGCAGGGAAATGGGAGTGGGAGGACTGTGTTTGTGGGGGAATTGTGTGGGAGTGGGGGGGATTGTGAGAGGGTAAGGGGGAGACTGTGTGGGAGGGGTGGATCCCCGGTCCACAACAGCCAGCAGTGGACCCTTAGGACATTCAAGGCCCCCTGCTGGCAGAGAACCCCTGGAGCCCCTGGCTCTGCCTGAGACCCAGGGGCTCCAGGTGGCACACGGAGCTGGCCCGGCCCACTGGCATGCACCTTAGGACAGGACAGGACCAGTTCCTCCTGCCACCTGGTGCTCACAGAACTGAAGGCAGGAGCCATGAGCTATCAGGCTGGGCCAGTTCCTGCCTCCATGGGCCCCGTGTGCCACCAGCCTGGGCCGGCTCCTGGCACATGTGAAGGCAAGAGCCAGCCTGACCTAATAGTGCACAGCTCTTTTTGGCAGTGCTGGGAGCCCCAGGTGGTGGCAGGAGCTGGCCTGGTCCTGGCCAAAGGTGTGCACCAGGGGAATGGGTTGGCTCTATGCAGCACATTTTGGCCCGGGTCTCAGGCAGCACTGTGCTCTTCTGGGGGGCTGTGTCGGCAGCAGGCCATGAGTGACAAAGGCCCACTGCTGGCTGCTGATGCAATGGGAGCTGTGTGCTGTGGCAGGGGGTGCATAGGGGACCCACCTTTCCCACACAGTTCCCCCACACCCACAGTCTCCCCCACCCAAAAACCCCCTACAATTTATCCACAACCCTTACACCCCCACCCACAAGCCACTCCCACAAACCCCCAACTCCACCCACATACCCCACACCCACAAATCTCCCCACAATCTATCCACAAACCCTATTCCTCTAAACCCTTGTACAAACCCCACCCCCAAACTTCACCCCCAAAACCCTACACCCTCCCCCCCATCCCCCGACAAGCCCCCCCAAACCCCACATCCCACCACAAATCTCATACCCTGCCCAGTGCCAGATGGGATGGAATCTGCTAGTGGGGGCCATGGCTTCAGGGCAACTGTTGCACTAAAGCCCTACCCTGTGCCCACACTGGTGCTGGGACATGCACCCCAGCTTGGGGGGGTGCAGCTTCTAGTGCCAGGAGCCACTTGTGGGGTATGACAGGCTGGGGAGGAGGGGGGAGGGGGCAGCAGGGGTCTATGGATGTATGTGATGGGCCAAGGGTGACAGCAGAGGTGTGAGTGAGAAAGAGAGAGAGATGGGGATGGGGGATGTGGGAGCACTCAGTAGGAGAGGCTGCCAGAGCCAGGCATGGAGCCCCCCTGACCTGCTAGAGCAGCTTGTGCAGGGGGAGGCCAGCCTGGAAGGGAAGGGGCTTGTCCAGCCCAATCCCCAGGTCCCAGCCAAGGGCTTCCCAGGAACAGCATGAGGATCACTGGGGCCTGAGTGCAGGCACAGGGAGCAGAACAGCAATGGTTGGCACTACTCAGTGCCACAAAGCAGTGGATGGAACAGCTGCAGGTGGACCCATGTCCTGGTGTGGGCTGAGAGCTGCTCCTGGGAGGGAGGGAGTAGGGGGCAGGCAGGGACTGCGGGTCATGAGTCACTGAAGGGGATGTGGGTTACAAGTTAGGGGCAAGGACATGGGCAGGGGCAGAGCATTAGTATCCCAGTGCTGCTCAGCACCCCAGATCCTGGCGAGCAAAGAGGGCAGGAACAGCTCTGATTTTTCTATGATAAAAAAACAAAAAAGCAAACACCAAAGTGTATAGATATTTAGAATTCATTTTATTATGGTGACAGAGGCACTAGCAGGCTTCCAAATTGCTTTAAAATTGTAAACATATCAATAAAACATTGTCCAACTGACCTTCTACATATATAGGGGTGTTTCATTTTAATCATGGAAGAACACAGATTTTGGGTATTTTAATAAGAGAATTTGGGTTTTTTATCAGAGAATTCACAGTCTTAAGCAGGGAACACCAGTATCCCTGCTGGTGAGGCAAGTGGTAGGACTAAAGCAGAGGAGCCTGCCCAGGGCCAACACTGGGGACCTCCCCAGATGAGGTGGCTGATCTCCTGGCCATCTGGGGCCAGGAGGAAATGATTCAACAATTCAATGCAGGCCACCACAATGAGCACATCTTCTGGGTGATAGCTGCCCAGATGACAGAGCATGGGCACCAGAAGACATGACAGCAGTGCCGCACAAAGGTCAACTGTGCAGCCACACCCTATTGGTAGCTGGTTTAGAGGTGCAGGTGGGTCTACTGCAGCACCCATACAACAGCCCAGATGGCCAGGTGGTCCCTGTCTCCGTCTGGCAGGATCGCAGGCATGGGGCCACTGGTCCAAGAGGACAGATGCTGTCGCAGGTGACAGCAAGTCACAACCAGGCAGCAGCCCCTACTCTGCCAGACTACTGCAGTGGGTAGAGGGTGCAGGGGCCACTCTAGGTTAGGGCTGTTGCAGCAGTCCAGCTGGTACAAGGGGCTAATGTCCCCAGATACCAACTGGCCGGGCCTCTGAAGATCCTGTCTATTTGTAATATTCAAATACTGTGGGCCCTAAGGCCCACCTGGCTAACTAGTAGCCCTTATTGTATGGGGGCTAATGTGTAAATGATATAACAAAATACTTGGGACAAAAAAGGCAAAAAACAGGACAGGACTGACGTGAGGGGCAAAGAGTCAAAATGTGAAAATGAGCGTGTCTGAGGGGAACACCGAGCAGAGCCCCCTGGGCCGCACCCACCAGTCCTCAAAGGCATCCAAGGAGCCGGTGGATGCTGCCCACTGGTGCTCTGCCTGGAAACACGCACAGAAAAGTAAGAGGAAAGCAGTCCCACAGTCTCGGGGCACCTTCTCAGCCAGAGCCTCCTTCCTGGTCAAGTATACGGCCCACTTGGCCAGGGCCAGAAGGAGTTTGACTAGGAGGTCCCAGGACTTGGTGGGGCCACAGATGGTGTGACCAAAAACAAAAAGGTGGGGGGGTGAATTGAACTAGAACCTCAGGAGGAAGTTCTGGAGGTGGAGGGGTTACAGCCTGGCGCACTTGAGGGTCATGTGTGCCAGGGTCTCCTTCTGCCTGCAGAAGCGGCAGGAAACTGGGGTATCTGGGAAGCTCACCACATACATGCCTGTAGCGATGGCTCCATGGAGGAGCTGCCAGCCGAGGTCCCCAGTGGCTCATGGGATGAAGGTGGAGTACAGACTCAGCCACTAAGGTGCACCAGCCACACCCTCACTGAGCAAGTCCAGTCACTTGGTGTCTGGGCAGGAGGCAAGGGCAGCATGATTGGTCATGCAGCACACAAGCATGTAGAGATGGCGGCGATGGACAGTGGAAAAGTGGACGGGTCTAGTATCCTCCAGCCAGCTCAGGTGCTAGATCAGGGAGTGCCACAAGGTCGGGTAAGGCGCCAGCCCCATGACAAACTCCAGTGGGCTGGAGGACATGGTGTGGCGGGGACCACCACCCCGCAGGACCTGGTCAACAAAGGCAAGGGCTTTGGGAGGTAGGGCAGATTTTACTTCCTGGATCAAATGGCAGGTCACTTGTGTCATGGGTAGACCCATGCACTGGACCAGCACAGCGGGGTCCACCCATTCCTGCCTATCATAGTCCAGGAGATCTCCAATATGGGTGACATCAGCCAGGAACAACCTCTGTCACAATTGGGGTGCCTCTGCTGTCAGCACCTCCAGCTGGGGGTTCCAGAGGAGGGGCTCAGCGAGCGGATCAGTGCCCTGGACGAGTGTTGCAGGGGACATGAAGGCAGAGACCAGCATCCAGACCTGGTGGAGGTCCTGGTAGAACTCTGGCATCCCTAGCAGGTCCTGCAGGGAGAAACT